ACTACATTAATACTACTCGATAATACTCCCCCAAAATTTGAGCATTTCTTTGGCAGTGGTTGGTTTCCATTGAAGGTTTTTTAAGTGTCTACAAAGCTCATGGGTTTGTAAGTATTGCTCCGCGTATCGATTAGTTTCGCGTACCATGAGGCTAATAATTTCGTATGCTGGTAGCAATCGATAGGATTGATTGTATTATCTTCTGAACCCAAAGTTACTTCTTCAGCGATTCCGTGATCCTCCTGGAATGCAACAGCCGAATCTAATTCTATGTCATTTCAAACTTGTGAATCTTCGTCGTCATCAGTAATTCTTCCTCGAAACTTGAAGAATCAGATTGCATCCGGACAACATCATTGTTCAAAGCACTCACTCCACTCAGAGAGCTACCGCTGCCACCGTCTTTTGCATCGGTTTCTTCAAATAGCAAAATTTATCGGAAAACCAATGCAAATATACGTATCTCAACTAAAAGGAGTTTATATAGCACGAAACACATCAATGGCGCATAGGTTGAATCGAGGTCACATGACCTAAAGGAACTGCATAGTAGATTGCAATAAAATTAGAATCTCATAGAGAGCGTCGTCGACATAGCCGAATAACCACCACTATCTCTCTCTGTCTTCTCGCTTCTTCATTCCCTTTCTTCGAAGAAAAACGCTCTAATAAGGAGGGCTTCTAATAGGAGAGGAGCTTCTATTATTTTGCAGTTCTTCAAGAAAGAGAACTGTCCATGTGATGTTACAAACAGAAAACAACTGACCAGTGCTGAATGAAAAGGCCAACGAGTGCATTTGTCCAAAGGTGAATACACACGAAAATGAATCCGGTTGTGGTAGGTGCTGAAATAAATCGTGATGTGAGGGAGTCAGCATCACGCGCAGTAGTAAAGAGAGCATATTTTTATGTCACAGTCACGACAATGTTCTTCGACGCCAGATTGTAACCTCTCTTATTCGAAAAGTCTCAGTGCGACTTAACGTAATGATTAATAAGTGATCGTGCATTAGGAATTGCATACGAAGGAAGGATTTTCGTTTTCTACTTGATAGCTTTAAATTTAATAAGACATAAGAGAGAGAGAGACGTTGAATCAACGTTCTATTCCTTTTTTGTTGGGAAAAACTCAGTTTGACACATTTTATTTTGTGTTATTAACCATAAAACAATAGATGAATCTGTCTTCTTTTTTTGGTTATACAGTGACGACTCTCTCAATTATTTTTTTCTCTGTTATAAACTAATAAATTTCAAAAACAAACAAACAAACGGGTGATCAATGTTGATTTCTTCCCTCTTTAGAACGAAAACTGTAAAATCATAATATTACTTAAAGGGTAAAACATCTCATCTTACCGAAACGAAGAATAGCTTTGACTATAGCATTGGATTCCAAATTCATACATCGTTTTTAATTACATTCACACTAACAATGGCGTCGCAGACTAAACCGTGATTTTTGTCCTCCTAGGATCAGCGCGATGTAGCTTAGCCCAGACTTGACTTAGGCTTTATCGAAAATATGAAAAAGACGGCTGACAGTTAGAGTAACATTTTGATAAAAAAACAAATTTTGACCATGTTATATCATGTTGCGTTTTCTGACTAACCGCGCTGGAACCTTGTAGAGAAGTGAATAATAAGTTTCGTCATTCGTGTTATTGTTGCTTTACGAGCAGCAACGGAGAATAAAGAAACGCAGCTGCAAAACATATCAGTGGCATTATCGTGTGCACTTTTTTCTCTGAGTATTTGGTCACATATGAAACTCACAGCTTTTTTTATACTTAAGGGCTAATTGTTCAAGGAATGTACTTCAAATTCAGTGTTTGTGTGAAAAAAGAATGTAGTTGGTCATGAATTGTCGAGCGAGTTGATTTATAATCACAGCCTTGCTCTTTGTTGCATGTGGCCTTGACGACAGTCACTAATCTGTTCGGTTGTGTCTGCTCTCGATTCTTTGAACTTTTGAAGTATAACAAAAAAAAGAAGACAGATTCATCTATTGTTTTGTGGTTACTAACACAAAATAAAATGTGTCAAACTGAGTTTTCCCCAACAAAAAAGGAATAGAACGTTGATTCAACGTCTCTCTCTCTCTTATGTCTTATTAAATTTAAAGCTATTGCATTTTCTTCTAGAGCAAATTAGAACCATTACCGCTGATTGTCACTCTATATAGACTTGGGTCTTTTATTGGTGACAGATTTTTCTCACGTGTTTAATTATCTTTTTATAGGTGCACATACTATTTCATTGGAAAATAGACATGAAAAAGACATGCTATTTTACTGGAAAAAAGACCATGCAATCACCGCTGCTAAATTGTTTTCTATTTGCTATTTTGTTTTGTTACGCAAATATATAGTTTTCTTTAAAATATGCTGGGCTTGTCGGGCTTGGTGTATTCTCATTGACAATACACAAGAATACGCAAATATATAAATTTCTATAAAATACGCTGGACTGTACACAGTAGATCAGTGCTACCTGTACGCCTCTAACTTGGAAACTTCTCAATCGAATCGATTGAGTTGTTTCAAACTCATTAAATGTCTTTGTCTCCCAAAGATATAGACCAAATTTGCTTGATTAGTAGAAGGAGAGAAATTTATTGACTGTATTTTATCAATGAATAAAGTTTAAAGAAAAGAAAAATGAAAATTTGGAAGTTTGACTTTGAAAATATGTGTAAGCAAAATATAAAGAATAATAGAGAGAAATGTATCGTCGAAATATGTTTTATGCATTTTTGAGGTGTGATCTGCTCTTGTTGAAGCAGCTGTCGGAACTTTGTACGTTTCATTCGAAAGAGAATGGTTGAATGTACAGAATGATGAAATAAAGCTTAGGGCGTTAAATATTTCAGATACTCAAAGAATAAAAACTACTAGAAAAAGATGGTAATTCCAAAATCATTAATTTAAGAAAAAAGTCCGGTAATTCAGCCGATTATGATCATGTGGCTCTAAAACTATGACACTAACTAAAAACTGACTAATACACTTACGTTGCTCAGAACCAAAATTTTAGCATTTTTGCAGCCATGTATCTTTTCGATTTTGCAGAGACAGCTAGCGATATCATTTTTATTCATTTTTGATTGTAATTTCACTTTTAAAATCGACTATTTTTGATTTTTCTCAGAAACAGCCTAAGATACTGAGCTGCCTTTTAACCATAGGGGGAACTGTCGCAGTTCTACTCTAAAAGTGTCGACCAAAATATTCAATATTAGCTGACGTATGGATGAAACAGTTTTCTGAATTGCCACTGAGCAAAGTATGTGAAAGTTATGCTCTTAGAAACAAGTGTTTCTGCTGCATTTAGTTTTGCTCATGTTAAAATCTCGTTTTGAAAAAGATCGGCTTTTATATCCGCAGACAAAAGGGTCAGTCGTACTTCATTGACTCTCGATATGAAATTGCCGATGTATAGTAGTTGAATGTTAATTTATTTGATGCGAGACGCACAGGCAATTATTAATTTTCTGCTGTCTAACGGAAGAGTACATTAGAATAGGTGTCTTCAATGACATTCTCTTGATTGACTCATCTAGCATTTCAAGTACGCTTCGACGAACAGTCAACAAAGACTAAGTAGCAAAGAAACACAATGAGACGCAGAGGGAAAGGAATGGAGAAGAGGAAACAGAACACGGAAAAATGTAGAAAGATGCAAATTATGATAGATAGATAAAACACGCAGTCAAATAACTTCAGCCCTAAGCTATCTCATTTTCCACCGTTATTGAATTTGTCAGTTTACACTTGGCAGTTACTTTACGTTGTATGCACTTTTCAATTACTGTCATTCTACCTGGCTTGTCTGTTCGTCTGCCACAAGCCATCTATTCGGAATTGGAAGAAGTTCATCCGTACAATCGAGCACGTTCGCAATGGCAATGTTGTCATAGTCGAAATGACGATTGTTTTATGCCATACTATGTATCACGCTGCTATTGCGATAGATTTTGTTTTCATGACTGTTGTCCTGATCATGATGTCGTTTGTGAGGGTAAAGTAGTAGGACACTCTGCACGAAAACTACTAAAAGGTGTAAATGAAATACGTCAGATGATCGGACCCATCTTCTTATCACTAATGATATTACGCAATACAAATCCAAATCGTCCATTGCGTTATGTCAGTCGTTACTGACATAAGTCATGACTCTCCCAAATAGCATTCTCTTTATCATCATTCTTTCTCTCGGTCATCATTCCTTCTCTTATCATAGCTACATTCATTGTGTTCAGATTCTTTTCTCTCTCTCTCTCTCTCTCTCACATCTATATATTGTGAGGTTTTCTCTACAATAGGGAAGTTTTTTGTTTTTCTGATTCTTTGTTCGAATAAAAGGAGGTGAGTATAACACATTGATACGACTGATGTGTCGTATAGATATGAGACAAAGATTCTTCGAAAGCGGTTTATATGCTATAGACAACAATCGTGTCTGTGTGACAACCAGTTGTAACCCGGTGAGTGAAGAACTGAATGAAATCTATCCCAGCTCAGTTATTCGTCACAACAGCCATGTTTTCCTAGAAAGCTAGACAAGGAAAAAAGGTTCTTGGTGAACCGCTTCGTCAAACCGTTCGACAGACAGCTTTTCCATGATGTGCTCCTAATATATTCTAGTATCACGAATTAATGAGATTTTCTGAGTCAAAAGAATATGAGGAATTGAAAAGAAACGCGCGAATAATGACTTCATTACTCACAAATAAGCCACCGAATCAGATCTCAGATTTTTAATTAGACCTTTGTTGGTTTTTTTGGGAAAAAAAGAAAGGAGTACTCTTTTTTCTAAAAAGAGACTCCGAATAAGACTTATCCGAATAACCGAAGAACTTAAGTGCACAAGAACATATTGAAGAATTAGTAAAGCAGTTAGATAACCGCCCTACGCCTAGCGGTAGTTACGGTGCAAATTATCGAGAAGAATTTCGAAACATATTAGAAAAGTTCAAACATTTATCTGATACTGACATAATGTCGGTGGCAAAGAGAGAAGTAGTACATGCAATTAATACCGGTGCACATTCTTCACCGAGTTCAAGATTTTATCCGTTATCATCTCCTAAAGAGAAAGCTATGTATGAACTATTACAAGATCTGTTGAAAGCTGGTTTAATTTCTAAAACAAAATCTGAATACGCACCTCCTGCTGTTTTAACACCAAAACCCGATGGCAGTTGGAGATTAGTTATTGATCTGTCCCAGAATCATATGAATTTATTGAAAGTCTCTAACGAAATAAAACCACGATCGTTTATGGAGGTCATAGGAGAAATGTGATTCTGTCGAATACACTTAACTATACATAGCGATACGTCTCTTGCTTGAAAAACAGAAGAATGTACATGTTCTGGTAATCATTAAAAATAATTAACAGAATCAGCTGATGCTGATCATGCTAATCTGTTTATTGATTTTCTAATCATATCGAGTAATTGTTGTATAAGGATATTACGGAATATTTTACTTGCCAATGTGTTTAACGTTTTACAATAATTTAAATACCAAAACCAATCAGCCATATAATAGAGCACAACTGTGTTTAATGTTGTTTGCGAGTTATTTAATGAATAGAGATAGATAATCATGTATGGAATATTTTTAACAAATTGTTATTGTTACTTGGAATAATAGCATTGACATTAAATGCAAATTATGTCTACTAATTGTTGTTAGTACCTGTCCACTACTTTGTTTTTAACTTGGCATCGTACGTCGACGGCTTAATCTAATATTACGAACGATCAATAATCCAAATATTGTTAATAGTATAGGCACAATTGCTCCATTAAATAACGCAAAAAAGTAGCCATCAATAACAGTGAAAAATATAGTTTTACTTTGTTCGACTTTACACGATATTGAATTACTTATTGGTGATGATTTCATTCTGGTAAAGGATAATGGAATGTGTAATGCAAATAATGACCAAAATAACAGGGTTATTAGTGTTAGTAAACGGCTGACTTTTAATTGACTCAACTGACGAAGTTTATAGTTAAATGAACTTGTACAATAGCGATCAATTGATGCTAATGTTATGTATGTTGACGAGAGAATGGGCAATAGAAATATGAGATAATTTCCAAATTTGCACCATGCAGCTGTGAGACTGATGCTTGAATATAATCGCCGATTAATTATACTTAGCAGAAGCATGAATAAAAATATGTGTAGAATAAGCAAATCTGTGATCGATGATGATAAAAAATACGTCGAACACGTATTTTTTTGTAAAGGTTTTTGTAAAAATGTGAATATATTCAAGAAACATCCAATTAGGCCTGTTACATATGAAAGAACTACAATATATTTATCAACTACTGTTAATACTTGTAATACTAAGCTCAATGATGCAGTTATCGAATTGTTTGCCATAATCAATCACCTCTTTTAAACTCTACTGTAAAATTTTAAGGAATTAGTCAGTTTTCGTAAAAGTTCATGAGTGCCAAAACTTATTAATATATTTTCGCTTTCTTGCATTCGTCCTTTATTAGTACTTTGAAATACGATCGCGATCTTCTCACTTTCTTTCAGATTAGGTTGTTGTAAAACAATATTGTCATGATCATATTTTCTAATTAATACATGTCCAACGCTAATCTTTTCCACTATCAAATTTAATGTGAAAGGACATAGTTTTTCATTACGTGGTCTAATTGTTTCCTTCTCAAAGTAAAAAGAATGACCTACTTATTTTTCATTCAAATCTCACGGCTAATTTCCATCTATTACACAAAAAATTGTACATAATGATCGAAAATAAAAGTTACCAAATAGCTGAGAGTGTCCTGATTCCGAATACATCTATTTCAAATCTTTAAAGCAACATAGTTTAATGAAAAATCGATATTTTTTCCGTATGCATTATCTCCGAAAGTTCGCCACTTGGGACAAAACGTTTTATATTTAATAGACCATCTATCTAAATAATTTTGAAACGGCGTATTTTCGGTTTCCTGTAACATGTCCGCATGGATACCCGTTGTGCACTGGTAGAACAATCACTCCTAGAAGTGCAGCTTACTTTGTCTGATATTGTTCTATCTTAGGGCAGATAGTCGATACAGCGTTTCTAGAAAAATAAACTTTTGCACATGAAATTCCAGGATAAAATATATGATTATTCAGAAATATCGTCGTATATACGTTGTAGAGAAACTACTGAATTAGCGAATCTACATATATGTTTGACAGAAATCTGTGGCGATAAATGTGAGTTTTTTGGGTTTAGATTCTCAGAATGATTCAAATTTTACGAACGAAATAAAATCTGATGATCTCGTAAAATTCATATGTTCAGAAATGAATGAACAGCGATGGATATATATGACAATAAAAGGGATGCTAGATAATAATATTGTTATTTTATACGTTAACGGAAAACAAATCGACACACAAAAAGTGAGAATTATCGTCCTTTCTCTCGATTAGAATATCAAATAGGTTTTTTCAGCTCCATTATACGAATGTCCCAACATCACTAATCCATTGCCAAATTTTCTATGAGAGCAGTCTCAACAAAACGCGAAATTTTTATTTTTTTTAAAAAACTGGAAAAAACGTGATTTTGTCAAAGACGATTAGAAACGAAGAAAAAATACTGACGTTTCCTTTCGTTTTCTTGACTATTTGAGAAGAAAACTCGTTTAAACGCTCCTGAACAAAAACGCGCTGTCTTCGTTTTATTTTTGATTGTATTTGAACGTAATTTTAGGTTCATCAGATGAATATTCTTTGTCAAAAAACGATTTAAAAAAACGTGTTTTTCACCGTTTTTTTAAAAAAAATAAAAATTTCACGTTTTGTTGAGACTGCTCTCGTAGAAAATTTGGCAATGGGGATAACAGTTGCTTATATCGGTTCACTTCCTACGCAACGTGTTTATTCAGATGCAGTGTGGAGATAACGTCTATGCTTTCTATATGTTTTTTCCGTGAAAGAACTACTTATTAAGTTCTGATTTGCACGCAGGTAGATAGTTTGAGGTGCCCTCGATCCGATGCAACCAAAAGTAAAGTTTCCAAATCAAACTGGATGGGAGAAAATTGCTCAGCAAATAAGCTCCAAAACGTATTTTTAGAAAATTAAGAAAACATTTTGGTATCCAAACATAAAAAAATGAGAATTTTTGTAGATAATTCGATTTCCTATCCGATGGTGCAGTTTCCTGAATTTTTGAAAAAAATATCTAGGTTAAAATGCAAAAATTTTTAAATTTATATTTTCATCATGAAAGTTTAACTTTAATTTGCTTTTGAGTTCAGATTCGTAATCAGCGAGAAAAACTGCGTCTGATGACGTATTTCTAACCTTTGTTGGAGTGGATCCATTAACCTGAACCTTATGATCCGAAGAATGACCGTTAGCTGGCCACGCCGTATAGTGATGATTCTTATGACCTTTTCTGTTCGTCAAGAGGTGTAGAGACTGGTACTTAATTTTCAGAATGAAATTTCTATGACTTTTTATAACGGGAATCAACACGCTTTTCTTGTTGATGCTTCTAATACAATTATTCTTTTTGCGGTAGATTTTTATAGATTTGTGCTTGTATTGTAACTGGAAAAAAAGTTTTTTCTAGCAAGTCTATTTTCAGGCAACAGACCGAGAAGATGTTTTGACTTACATATTAACCCAATAAAGATTTTTGACTCCCAGTTATGTTTTAAATAAAACCAACATGGAAAGAACAATTCGACTTATATTTCGAAATGTTGTGTCGCAGACCAAGGTAGAAATAACAGCAAAGACTATAATACAGAAGCGTTTTCACACAGTTTTTATCCCTCCTTGTTCGGGTAAAACCGAAAAAGCAACTGAGTGCAATGTATTTTGGTGGGTAGTAGTTTAATTCATCATATCAGAAGAAATTATCGAAGACTATGGATTATCATGAACAGAACCGCCACAAAAATAGTCAATGACAACTCCTACATTTGACGGATCTTTAATTCGAACCTGAAGTAGATCTGTGCGTGTTTCATTTAGTTCGAATTTAACTCTCATCAGTATTTTGTGCCCAGATCGATAGATGCTTGCCAAATATAAAATATAGGAAGTCGCATTTGTCTCAACTTTACCAGGCTTCTCGTACACTTCCACTTCAGTATAATCAGCAATTTCATCGTCAAAATCAATCGAAAAATTAGATGTGTTACATAAACAGAGCTCTTTTCAGGATAAAACTTTTCAATTTGCTGATAGTGGTATTACATATCTTTTTTCCAATTCATGTTTACTCCCAATAGCCTGGCAGATTGAGAGCCAATTTGATTCTGAGACATGCTGAATATAGTCACAAACTTCAGCGTTAATACCATGGAGCTAAACCATATAAAATCCTTTTTTTGCGATGAAAGTGATTTTACAATGCCAGTTTATCTGACATTCATCAATATTACGGTGCCGGAAATTCAAAACTTGAGCAGGAATTTTTTTCGTTCTTTTTATCATGGTTGGATGAAGCACATCGAGTTACGTAGAACAGACTCTATTTTGGATAAAAAATCGAAGTTTTCCCAAGAAAACCTGAAACGCACATCAGTCGATCCAGTTTTTGATGCTGACTCCAGATATGCGATTGGTCTTGCAAATAAAAGGAAGTTTGACGGCGAAAACTGTAAAATACAAGTGCATTTCCTTGGTTTTTGCTACCTGTTTCAAAAAGATTAATGTTCTCAATAAAGAAACAATATGTTCCAAAAACCCATCTATAACTTTTCCCCACATATATGACGATTAAGATAAGTAAAAAAATTTGTCTTGTAGTAAAATTTGTTGGTTAAATAAAAAGCCATTTTAACAAATGTATCTAGGTTATGCTTTTGCGCGTACTCTTTTTTTCTTATTCAAACTTCTCCCTTCTTCCCCTTACTTCCATCGTCTTGAAAATAACTTTTTTACCGAAAGTATGAAGTGAGTCTCCGGCTAATACACCACTGTCTTTTCGTAACGACTCACCATCTTTTTGACATTACGAACGAGCAGACTTTAACATTTTATGTATTATCTTTAAAAGACTTAGCTAGAAAAAGGGCTGTTAGCAACTGGAGAATCAGATCTTGGTCAGTCGCTGTGTATAAACGACAGTTACTTTTGGGACGACTTTAAGAGTAGCAGAGATCTAAGACTAGGTCTTTTTTTCCGCCTAACGAAAGTCAAAAGAGTGATGGCTAAACATGATTCGTTTTTGTATAAATGGGTCCCTATTATAAAGGTTTTCCTTAAGACTTAATAAATGTGTGAGATAGTTACTACGGTCTATACATGTAAAA